TCTTCCAGTTAATGGTAATCTTGTGGCATTCAGTCACCTATAGACAAGGTGCCTTTGAATCCTAGCTCTAAGGCTTGCTAGTCATGTAGACTGGGCAAGTTAATCTTCTGTGTTTAGTTTCTTTATTTGTAAAATGGACATTATACTAATACCTCATCGAGTAAATTCAAGGATTAACTCATTCTTCACTATCTGATCTCTTGCAAATATTTAAATTTCATCTCCAGTCATTCTTTATCTCCAGGTGCGCTATCCTAATGCTTTAGCCACACCATGTTTGCCATCCCCTGCACACAACTGATCCTTCCTTCTTTGCCTTCAGAACTGCTTTTCATGTTTCAAATACTGCCTCTGCCTCCCTGAAGACACCTTTGGTTTCTCTCAGCAGATTCCACAATTTCCTTCTAGTGGCAATTTTTTGGAAATAAAAAATTAGAAGAAAAAAAAAAGTCTAGGCCTAATTTTTAACTTTTTTTTTTCTTCCCCCCCCCCCACCACCCTATTTTTTACCTCAGTTGTAAAATACTGTGTTATAGGGACTACCATTGATAAATAAGAACCATGTTGTATGATAGCTTTGTGCTAGGTGCTTTTATTGCATTTTCTCTGGATGTTGGGTCCATTATGCATTAAGGTCCCCAAAGGAAATAAACTAGTAGCATAACTATTTTTTCCGTCAAATGGAATGAGGAAAAGAAATAAATATAGAGGTATCATTTTCTCTGTTAAATCCTTGACTTTAAAGTAATTTAATATTTGCTAAAAGCAATATATGATAAAGAAAACGTTGTTTTTATTTAATTTGTAAGCCAGATTTAAAGATTAGTTTAAATTTTCCATTAAAGTTTTATATTTATGAATTCTTGAATAACAGAATAAAAAGTAACTAGGTTTATCTTCATACAGCAAAACATAATTAGAAACTACTGTATTTACGTGTTAGATGTTTGAAGGGTGATTAAATATTTGATGAGTGTTAATTATGTATCTAATTACATTATATAAATTTAATTTCTTAGTGACATATTATTGAACAAATCAATATAACACACAATGAAAGACCACCTCATACTCATTAGGATGGTTACTATCAAACAAACAGAAAGTAAGAGTGTTAGCAAGGATTTTGTTTAGCATTTATCTAGTTTAATAAAAAGTGCTGAAATCAATAAAAATATATTTTTTTAAATGGTGGGCAAAGCAGGGGGATGAGGAATGGAGGACATCTGTAACAGTATCAACAATAAAAGTTAAATTTAAAAAATAAGATAAATAAAAATGACACTAATCTCTGCCATTTCCTGGTCACATGCAATTCTGATTTTCATTTCCTCTCATGGCCAAGGCAAGGAGTTTTAGAGCCTTTTCGCTCTCTGAAATAGTTCTCAACCCTCAGGCTAAGAATCGAATGTGAAGGTCCTGCCAATTACCGAATATGTCTGTTAGTACTGTTCAGGGACCTGGGAAACGATCAATAAGTGGGTCAGCTTCCTCAGGAAACAGACTCTGAGGAGTGTTCAAAGGGTTTGTTGAAGCCAATGGCCTGCAATAACTTCTGTGAGGAAATGTGGGCAGCAGCATTGGGAAGCGAAAAAATTACTGTGCAGCTGCAAAGAAGGCCTCAGTTTCCACAGGAGGCTCTGAAGCGGAGATGACCCTTCAGAGTTATACCAAACTGAGACGGGGATGAGAGTAGAGGGAGGAAGCTTTAAACTCCTTCATTGACCATGAATAAAATTCAATAGGCAAGGAGCAGATCCCCTATGCTAATTGTACTATCTGGAGAATGATTTAGGTTTGAACCAACTGCAGGCAACACCCTTGGCAAATGTGGAAACAAGTGCCTCAGAGTTAAGAGGGGACATTGGTGATTCATCATAACACCCACTACTGGATTGACAGACTTAGAAATTTTTAAAATATAAATAAAATTATTACCTGGCCTATCTATACTAAAGGGTTATTTATTGTTTATTTAAAATTTAAATTTAGCCCTGATTGGTTTGGCTCAGTGGATGGAGTGTCCGGCCTGCCGACTCAAGGGTCCCAGGTTCTATTCCGGACAAGGACATATACCTTGGTTGCAGGCACATTCCCTGTAGGGGGTGTGCAGGAGGCAGCTGATTGATATTTCTCTTTCATCCATGTTTCTAACTCTCTCTCCCTCTCCCTTCCTAACTGTAAAAAAAAAATCAACAAAATATATTTAATAAATAAATAAAATTCAAATTTAACTGAGCATCGTGTATTTTATCTGGTCACTGTATACACTGCACTTGTACTAAAGGGTAAGAAGTATAAGAAAGAATTTTAAGGGTATTAATGCCTTATTCCTTTCATAATCTTATTCTTTAAAAAGTACTATTTCAACAAGAATGTGGGTGACCAAAATGAAAATTGGTTAACCTTAATAATTTTGACTCTATTCAAGTCCTGAAGTGGTCTAACTATAGGGACTCAATGCTGCTAGCTACATTTTACTATCAGAAACAGAAGTATGCTCAGGAAGAATACTAGCAATACTAACAAGGGAGAATGGTGAGAAAGACATAGCACTCAGTATATAGAAAAGGAAAGAATTGGAGCAAAGGCAGTCAGAACAAAAAGAGATAAGAGGAAATACCCTGAGATAGATTCAAAGAATTTTCTGACTATATGATGTAGGAAAATAGGAAGTAAGCAGAATCTAGTAAAATTGCATGCTCTTGATTTTATGTAATAAGAGAAGAGAGAAATGATATGATATATATAAAACAAAAGAATAAATAGGTTTTGCCAAAACTGGTTTGGCTCAATGGATAGAGCGTCGGTCTGTGGACTGAAGGGTCCCAGGTTCGATTCCGGTCAAGGGCATGTACATTGGTTGCGGGCACATCCCCAGTGGGGGGTATGCAAAAGGCAACTGGTCGATGTTTCTCTCTCATTGACATTTCTAGCTCTCTACCCCGCTCCCTTCCTCTCTGTGAAAAATAAATAAAATATATTTTTTAAAAGTTTTAGAAGGAGAAGATAATACATTTGACAAATCATTCATCAGAAAGTATAATATGTATGAATAATATACACCAAATTGTTGATATTGGTCAGGTATTCATTTTCCATTAAACATATTTCACCTGAGACTTTATAGATATTTTTAACCATCTGGAATTTCTATAAGCTGTAGACAAAGATGTTAAATTATACCAGTAATTATATTAGCTGAGTATATACACAGTTCTGAGAAACAGTAATTTTCAAATTTAAATTTTAATTGAAAGGTTGGTTGCTACGGGGGGGGGGGGGGAAGAAATGGCAAGAGATTAGCCAAAAGGTACTTTTTAAACTTCTAATTATAAAATGAGTATATTCTGGGGATCTACTATACAGCATGGTGACTACAGTGAATAACACTTTATTACATACTTGAATGTTATTAAAAGAGTAAATCTTAAATCTTTGCCACATACAAAAAATGTAAAGCGATGAATGTGTTAACTAACCTTATTATGTTAATCATTTCTCAATAACTATGTATATCAAATCATCATATAAAACAACTTAAATTTACACAATTATATAATATATCAAGTATAACAGAAGCCTGGCCTGTGGAGATCAAGCCAAAATCAGCTCTCTGACATGCCTGAGGAGTCCCAGATTGCGAGAGGGTGTAGCCAGGTCAAGGGACCCCACTGGTGCACGATCAGGTCCCGATTGGCTGGACACCAGCAGCAAGCTAACCTACCAGTCAGAGCATCTGCCCCCTGGTTTTCAGTGTGCATCATAGTGACTGGTTGAATGGTCAAATGAATGGTTGGACACATAGCATATTAGGCTTTTATATATTAATAGGATTATATTTCAGTAAAATTAAATTTAAACAAATACATAAAATTTTATTTGAAGGAAGATTTTATAAAATGTGTTTGTCTTTAATATCAATCTGAAATAGATATAAAATACCAAATATCTTGTATCTCACTAGTAATAATTTTGGGTTAAAAAATAAAATGAACTAGTAGTATAGTGGATACATTAAATTGCAATGTAATGACAACTGTCAATACTTATTGTAACTCATATGTCGGGTACTATTCTAAGTATTTTTCTCTTTATTCTTAAAAAAAAATAAAACTTTAGAAAATACATTCCATTGTTATCCTTATTTTAACAGTGCAGAGAAGTAAACTGGCTGAAGATTCTGAAGTAAATAAGGCAGAACTAACATTTGAAATCAGTATAATTTGGTTTCAGAGTTACTACCAAGAATATACCACCTCCCTGTTGAAGTATTTGACTTTCTTCCTTATTGAAGAGAATACAAACAACTGGTGCCTCCAACCACTCTCTCTCCCAGATATCAGAGGAGATATTGTCGCTAACTCTCCCAGTGACGGCCTATTCTGGCAACTACGCTGGGTTGGATGTCTCTCCTGTCCTATTCTCCCCTCTCACACACCTCCACATTTATTGGTCTGACATCATTTTTTTCTTTTCATTTCTCAGTTGGTTGTATCTCTTTGAAATAAGGAATATTAGCCGGGACCGGTTTGGCTCAATGGATAGAGCGTCGGCTTGGGGACTGAAGGGTCCTGGATTCGATTCCGGTCAAGGGCATGTACCTTGGTTGCGGGCATATCCCCAGTAGGGGGTGTGCAAGAGGCAGCTGATCGATGACTCTCTCTCTCTCATCGATGTTTCTGACTCTGTATCTCTCTCCCTTCATCTCTGTACAAAATCAATAAAATATATTTTTTAAAAAAGAAATAAGGAATATTAAAATATTGGAGCACAACACAGTGCCTGGAATATAGTATAGGTTCAGTAAATGTCTGCCAAAGAATGCTCTTACTTTTCCAGGTCTGCCTATTGGCATTGAAGCTGCACCAAAACAATCACATCCATTGCCATCTTTATTCTGATATCGACTGTTGCAATTCTCTACACTGTAACATATTTCACATTTCTCTTTGAAACAAAGATAACAATACCTATCCCACGTGGGAAAAATGTCTTACCTTCTAAATCTTCTTTCTCAAAGTGTGTTTTGAGAATAGAGCGAGTTCCTCCCCTATCCACAACTGCCTCTTCATCATTTCTCTGTAGAATGGGAAAAAGGAAGACTAAATAGAAATACATATATTTTTCTTACTTTCAGAAAATACAAGTTCTTCAGAAATAAGAGTATTATTTATTTATAAAATATACCTGTTTTAAAAAAAAGTAACAATGATTACAATTAATGAAGGTATTTTTAAAGTTAGAAGCTCCAAGTATTTTTTGCTTCCAACGTTTTTAATTAAATTTATTGCAGTGACATCGATTAATAAAATTATATAGGTTTCAAGTGTACAATTCTACGATGCATTCTCTATAATGTGCTTTCAGTGTTTGCCACCCAAAGTCAAATTTCCTTCTGTCACCATATAGTTGCCTCCCCCATCCTCCCATTACCTTTACTAGCCTCTCTACTCCCCCTTTCCTCTGGTAACCACTATACTATTGTCTGTGTCTATGGAATACTGTCACTGTGACAGCAAGGATGGATCTTGAGAATATCATGCTAAGCAAAATAAGTCAGAAAAGGTAAAAAAAAATATATATATGATTTTACTCATATGTGAGATTTAAAACTGAAAGCAACAAATGAACCAATAAGAAAAAATAAGCTAGCAATCATAGACAGACAACAGAAAACTTGTAATATGATCTAATATATTAGAGTTTTAATTTAGTCAGTTAAAACTATTTGTATATGACTATTCTATTTGGTTACCAAGTGTTAATTTAAGGAGAAGGATTAAAATTAATATGGCCACATATTTAGGAATCAAATAGCATTTATTTTCCATGAAATTGAAGACAAACATTCCAGTTGGCATCATTTGTTAGGGGTATAAAAAAATGGGAAATAAACAATTATCTTGTTGATTTAGTAACATGCATTTCTATCGCTGATAAAGAATTCTTGTTAACAAGATGACATTTTGATCTACAGATGGAAAATATAAAAATCATTAGCATTAACACCATTCATGCTATGGTAGAGTGGCATAATTCCATTGCCATTAAAAACGGGGTGAAGGGGCCTAATCCTTTGAAAGCAATTAGTAGCAATTATTAGGTAAACTTACAACTCTAATTATTTTGTTTCAGTATAATGCATTTTATTAAAACTAAATTGTAAAGCACAGTCATATGCATTAAACTTTTATTCAATTTCTTTTTTTAAAAAAACCTATTTAGAATGGCTGGGCAAAGGTTCTAGCATATGCATATTGTACATACTCAAACAATATGCCCACTGATTTGGTTCTCAATAAAATAATGGGGAGAAGGGTGAATATAGTTCATTTTGACCATGCAGAAATACACAAAAGTAAAATGCAGATTACTTCCAATGTTTATATGATTGGTAATACCTATCTATTTCTAAGCCTATCATTGTATAGAGTACAAGGACATGTTTGAAACCCTATAGTCCTTTATCTTTCTGAAAATATGAACTGAGACAGGTCAGGGCAAAGTGTTTGAAATCAGAGTTAATGAAGCCTACACCATAAATGAGAGAAAACTGAAAATGAAGATACAATTCAGAACCCATTGCTCTTCTGTTTGGCAAAATTTTAAATATCTATTGGTTTGAGCAATAATAGCAATAGAAAAAACTAAAGATGGTATTTATATAATATTCCTGAATCAAACAAATGCAAGTTTCAGCCTATTTAGAATCTATTCTTGATATATTTACAAATCGAACTTATCCTCTGTGTGAGATATATTTAAATATATGTCACATTGGAATGCATCTCTGACCTGTGAAGTGTTGGTAAGATAAATGCAAAAAACTAATTATGCATCCATGTTCAAAGTCAGAAGGAAGACTATTCCACTAGATTTTACAATGGTGTTCTCTTAAAAACAATTGCGAAATGGAAAGCTTTATATAGAATATAATAAGATGTTTTCTCCCTGTACAATTTTGACTTCAAGACCTGAATCTTTTTTTTAACTGCTACAAATAATTTTTTCTGTATTTATATAAAATATTTATACTGTTCACATGAAAAAGATATTCTATTGATTAGCTAATGTAAAAATACTGAGATAAAATAAAAATTTGAAGAGCAGAGGAGGATCTAAATAGGATACAGTAATTCTTTAATTACTATAACATTGTAAGCAGAAGTGATCTGTTTAAATATTTGTTTGAAATAACAAGAACTAGAAGCTAAAATATGAATGTAACTCAATGTAAGTGACTCTTTTTTGGTTTCTTATACATTATTCCCTTTAAATACTCTCTGAATGTTTCATTCAAGGAAGAACTAAAACCCATCCTCCTCAGATTACTCCAAAAAATACAAGAGGAAGGAATACTTCCAAACTCCTTCTATGAAGCCAGCATCACCCTAATACCAAAACCAGACAAAGACAACTCAATGAAAGAGAATTACAGGCCAATATCCCTCATGAACATAGATGCCAAAATCCTCAACAAAATTCTAGCAAATCGACTCCAGAAGAACATCACAAAGATCATACACCATGACCAAGCAGGATTTATTCCAGGAATGCAAGGATGGTACAATATCCGCAAATCAATAAACTTGATACATCACATAAACAAATTGAAAGATAAAAATCATATAGTCATATCACTTGACGCAGAAAAAGCATTTGATAAAATCCAACACCCCTTCCTGATAAAAACTCTTAACAAGGTGGGAGTACAAGGATCATACCTCAACATAATAAAAGCTATATATGATAAACCCACAGCCAACATTATACTCAATGGGCAGAAACTAAAACCATTCCCTCTAAGAACAGGAACAAGACAGGGATGCCCACTCTCGCCACTCCTGTTTGACATAGTTCTAGAAGTACTAGCCATTGCAATTAGACAAGAGGAGGAAATAAGAGGCATCCAAATTGGAAAAGAAGAAGTAAAGTTATCCTTATTTGCACATGACATGATATTGTACATAAAAAACCCAAAAGACTCCATTAAAAAACTAATCGACTTAATAAATGAATTTGGCAACGTAGCAGGATACAAAATTAATGCCAAGAAATCCATGGCATTTTTATACACCAACAGCGAAACTATAGAAACAGAGGCTAAAAAAGCAATCCCATTTACCATCACACCAAAAAAATTAAGATACCTAGGAATAAATTTAACTAAGGAAGTAAAGGACCTATATGCAGAAAACTACACGACACTGAAAAAAGAGATAGAGGAAGATGTAAGGAGATGGAAGAACATACCATGTTCATGGATTGGTAGAATCAACATCATCAAAATGTCCATACTTCCTAAAGCAATCTATAAGTTCAATGCACTCCCCATTAAAATACCAACGACATATTTCACTGACCTAGAAAGAACTCTCCAAAAGTTCATTTGGAACAATAAAAGACCCCGAATAGCCACAGCAATCCTGAGAAAGAAGAGTAAAGTAGGAGGGATCTCAATACCAGACTTCAAACTATATTACAAAGCCACTGTTCTCAAAACAGCCTGGTACTGGCACAAAAATAGACATATAGATCAATGGAATCGAATTGAGAACCCAGATATCAACCCAAATCACTATGCTCAATTAATATTTGACAAAGGAGGCACGAATATACAATGGAGTCAAGACAGTCTCTTCAATAAATGGTGTTGGGAAAATTGGACAGACACATGCAAAAGAATGAAACTAGATCACCAACTTACACCATTCACAAAAATAAACTCAAAATGGATACAGGACTTAAACATCAGGTGGGAAACCATAAAAATACTAGAAGCATCCACAGGCAGCAAAATCTCCGACGTATGCCAAAAGAACTTCTTCACTGATACTGCCTCTAGGGCAATGGAAGCTAAAGAGAAAATAAACAAATGGGACTACATCAAAATAAAAAGCTTTCTTACAGCAAAAGAAACCATCAACAAAACAACAAGAAAGCCCACAGTGTGGGAGAACATATTTGCAAATAATACCACTGATAAAGGTTTAATCTCCAACATCTACAGACAGCTTATACAAATAAATAAAAGGAAGATGAATGATCCAATTAAAAAATGGGCAATGGACCTAAATAGAATATTTTCAAAAGAAGACAGAAGGAAGGCCAAAAGGCACATGAAAACATGCTCAAAGTCACTAATTGTCCGAGAGATGCAAATCAAAACAACAATGCGGTACCATCTCACACCTGTCAGAATGGCCAACATCAACAAATCAACAAACAACAAGTGTTGGCGAGGTTGTGGAGAAAAAGGAACCCTCGTGCACTGCTGGTGGGAATGCAGACTGGTGCAACCACTGTGGAGAACAGTGTGGAGTTTCCTCAAAAAACTGAAAATGGAACTCCCATTTGACCCAGTAATCCCACTTCTAGGAATATACCCCAAGAAACTAGAAACACCAATCAGAAAGGATATTTGCACCCCTATGTTCATAGCAGCACAATCTACAATAGCCAGAATTTGGAAACAGCCTAGGTGTCCGTCAGCAGATGATTGGATCCAAAAACTTTGGTACATCTACACAATGGAATACTATGCTGCCATAAAAAAGAAGGAATTCTCATCATTTGCAGCAACCTGGATGGAATTGGAGAACATCATGCTGAGTGAAATAAGCCAATCAATGAAAGAGAAATACCACATGACCTCACTCATTGGTGGACAATAAAGCTCTTTATGAACTGATGAACCAAGAGACAGAGATAGAGAAAGTAAAGCAACAGGCAGACTGTCAAATTACAGTGGGGAGGGGAGGAAGATCTGGGGGAGATAATAGATCAAACGAAGGACTTGTATACATGCATATAAGTACAACCAATGTTCATAAAACTCTGGGGAGGGAGGGGATGGGTGGGAGGGAGGGAGGGGGGTAAAAAAAAATAAATAAATAAATAAACAAAAGTTACCGTTATCAGAGAGTAAAAAAAAAAAAAAAAAATACTCTCTGAATGTTTCATAGATACATCAAATGAATGAATGATCTTTTAGGCTGAAAATTCTCTACACAAATTAATACTGATATACATACTGAGATTCATCCACTTTGTTTATAGTTCCCAAAGTCATTTCAATA